AATACATAAAGGATATTTGTGTTGTTTAACATTGAATTATTGCAGATTTACATCATTTCTGAGTTGCATTATTTTTTATTCATTTTGAGGAATACTGAATCTGTTTTTTGTGTGTGTGTGAGTGAGATGAATTAATGCATATTCATATTTATTATAGAACTACAGTAACATCTTCTGGTTTCTCTCAACATGAGGACAGGAGAGCTGTCAATCAATAAACTGAAGAAAAAAAAAGTAACTTGCGTTACTTATTTGAAAAAGTAACTCAGATATTCTCTTGTAAATTAAAAAGTAATGCGTTACTTTACTAGTTACTTGAAAAAAGTAATCTGTTTACTTAACTCGCGTTACTTGTAATGCGTTACCCCCAACACTGGTTGTAAACCTGTTTGATGTTCTTCTGTTGAATATTTAAAAAATTATATATATATATACAGAGGGGCAAATAAGTATTTGATACACTGCCGATTTTTCAAGTTTTCCCACTTACAAAGAATGGAGAGATCTGTAATTTTCATCGTAGGTACACCTCAACTGTGAGAGACAGAATCAAAAAAATAACATTGTATGATTTTTTAATAATTAATTTCCATTTTATTGCATGAAATAAGTATTTGATACAATAGAAACATAGAACTTAATATTTGGTACAGAAACCTTTGTTTACAATTACAGAGGTCAGACGCTTCCTGTAGTTCTTGACCAGGTTTGCAGACACTGTTCTCCAGATCTTTCAGGTTTTGGGGCTGTCGCTGGGCAACATGGAGTTTCAGCTCCCTCCATAGATTTTCTATTGGGTTCAGGTCTGGAGACTGGCTAGGCCACTCCAGGACCTTGAAATGCTTCTTACGGAGCCGCTCCTTAGTTGCCCTGGCTGTGTGTTTGGGGTCATTGTCATGCTGGAAGACCCAGCCACGACCCATCTTCAATGCTCTTACTGAGGGAAGGAGGTTGTTGCCCAAAATCTCGCAATACATGGCCCCATCCATCCTCCCCTCAGTACAGTGCAGTCGTCCTGTCCCCTTTGCAGAAAAGCACCCCCAAAGCATGATGTTTCCACCCCCATGCTTCACGGTTGGGATGGTGTTCTTGGGATTATACTCATTCTTCTTCTTCCTCCAAACACGTCGAGTGGAGTTTATACCAAAAACTTCTATTTTGGTCTCCTCTGACCACATGACCTTCTCCCATGCCTCCTCTGGATCATCCAGATGGTCTTTGGCAAACTTCAGACGGGCCTGGACATGTGCTGGCTTGAGCAGGGGGACCTTGCCCACGCTGCAGGATTTTAATCCATGACGGTGTAGTGTGTTATTAATGGTAACCGTTGAGACTGTGGTCCTAGCTCTCTTCAGGTCATTGACCAGGTCCTCCCGTGTAGTTCTAGGCTGATCCCTCACCTTTCTCAGGATCATTGATTCTCCACGAGGCGAGATCTTGCATGGAGCCCCAGTCCGAGGGAGATTGACAGTCATCTTGAATTTCTTCCATTTTCTAATAATTGCGCCAACAGTTGTTGCCTTCTCACCAAGCTGTTTGCCTGTTTTCCTGTAGCCCATCCCAGCCTTGTGCAGGTCTACAATTTTGTCCCTGGTGTCCTTCGACAGCTCTTTGGTGTTGCCCATAGTGGAGAGGTTGGAGTCTGATTGATTGAGTGTGTGGACCGGTGTCTTTTATACAGGTAACAAGTTCAAACAGGTGCAATTAATACAGGTAATGAGTGGAGGATAGGAGGGCTTCTTAAAGACAAACTAACAGGTCTGTGAGAGCTAGAATTCTTGCTGGTTGGTAGGTGATCAAATACTTATTTCATGCAATAAAATGGAAATTAATTATTTAAAAATCATACAATGTGATTTTCTGGATTTTTTTTTTTATTCTGTCTCTCACAGTTGAGGTGTACCTACGATGAAAATTACAGATCTCTCCATTCTTTGTAAGTGGGAAAACTTGAAAAATCAGCAGTGTATCAAATACTTATTTGCCCCACTGTATATATTGAGATTTTTTTTGTTTGTTTGTTTTTGTCACCAGAACTGTTTGGTTACCAACATACTTTAATCTTTTTTTGTGTTCCACCAAATTAAATTTATATAGGTTTAGAATGACATTGAAGTGATTAAATAACCAAATCTTCATTTTTGGGGGTTACAGGCTGGGAGAGAACTGTAAGGATGTGTAGTATGGTTACTGTGGTCCTGTGGATAGTACTGGGAGAACATTCTGACCACAGCTTTATTTATATCCAGCTCAAGGTTTTTTTAGCAGTGCAGGCCAAAAATCTTGTTGGAATTTGTGTGTCAAAAATAAATAGCGAATGAAGTAAAATCTGTTTGGAAAACGTTCCCAACTGAGAGAGATGTAATGTAAAACTCAGCTCAGGAGAAAAAATAAAATGTTTCAAAAGGATATGGAGATACTAGTGGCTCTTTCAGAAATCACAGTCTTAAAATCAAAGGTTTTCCAAAGTTATGCTTTAAATTTTAACACATTACAGTATGTTAACTGCATTTCCTAAGATTTTGGAATCTGTTCATATTTTTGCTGTATTGTGAATGGATTTCACCTCTTAAAACTAATACATGTGATTCATGTCTTTCTAAGACCAGTATGTTTTTTGTCCCACAGATAACCATAAAACTGTTTAACTGAAACAGAAGGACAGAATGGCGACTATGCAGACAACAAGGCCATAACAGGCCTAAATGCCTTGGTAAGACTGTACACCACTGTATATCGCTGCCATGTGACCCACAGATTGCTTTACAATGTACTTTACTGGAAAATCTGTCACTTGTTGCAGACTCTTAACTAAACTCATAACTAAATCAGAATCAAAATACAGAGTAGTC